TCTCTCCCCCTGGCTCTGCTCTGGGACACAGCTCCTTGTGTGGTGTGCTGGTAATAACACCCATAGCTTGTATGCTGGTTCTCCTTTGCACAGGTCAGGCTGACGTTATCTGGGAACGGGTAAGAAGAGGAGGAACGTGAGCTTGGGAAAAGCCAAGCTGGGACGTTCCCAAGATCAGCTGTCCCAAGCGGAGTTCAGTGGTTTGGTGCAGAGCATTGCCCTTTCCCTCAGCATTTTCCTCCCAGGCAGCTCCTTCTTAGATAGATCTTGAAGTGCCCAGCCCTACAGCTGCGTCTGTACCTTTACAGCTAGGTCTGGCCTGGGCTATGGGAGCTTCTGCTGCTCAGCACGCTCAAGCTCAGGTGAGATAGCAGCCTGGCTTTGGAGGGAGAAAGCAAACTCCTTCCAAGGCCTTATTCCATTTAACCTGGCATCATTTTACTGCCTGCGTTAACGTAGGCAGCCTTGGGCCTTAACGATTGACCCTATCATGCTCCATGACTGCATCTGCTGTGATCAGAAAGGAAGGAGTGGTAACTCCCCTACCCCCAGGCTTATACACACACACCTACCTCACTGCCTGCAGCCTCGATAAAGGGGTGAGTATCGGTGCAAGAAGGAAACATTGATAAAGTTCACAGAGATATGTTAAAATGGATTGACCCTCCTGCAGAAAACAGACTGTAAATGCAGCTTCTATGGCATGGGGAGTCCACCAGGTACGCTTGCTCCAATTGGCTTTGCATCAGTTTAGAAAGCAGATGGAAACTCAGCGTGCAAGAATCATGCCTCCCCTTTAGATTGCCATTTTAGCTGCTTGGGTAAGCATCCCAAAAGACAGGAGGTTTGCTCTCCTACGTAGTCAAGACGACAGTATTAGCATTTGGAGATTATCTTTATTTAGAGGAACAGAAATCATCTCTACCAACCTTTCCATTGCTAAGAGTTCTCCTAGGAGCTCTGGCTGGAGGATTAATGACTCATACCCTAGGAGTTCTTCAACATGGCCTTCCATGCACAGGTGAGCTCACATTTAAGCTGGTTTTAAAAGGCAGCAGCCCTGGCAGTAGAACAGAGATGCTGAAACCCTCTCAGCTCAGGCACCCGTGGAGAAAAGCAGAGCCCTTTCCTAATTTTTCCAGTAGATCTGACCCTGGGAGGAGCCTGGCTGCACTATCCTCAGAGAGGAGGTGAGAATGAGCTGTGTATCTCCTGTAATACTACAACCATTGGCACTGCTGCTTCCACCGAGAATGCCTATGCCTGCGTTCCTGCTCCATTTCAGGATGCAGAAGTTGGGGGAAGTGGAAGGCCATTTTCCTCCGGGTGAGAGTTCCTGTGTGTTATCTCTGCACTCCCAGAGCTGGAAGAGAAGAAGGATTCCTTCTCCCTTTGAGAACTGAGACACTTCTACTCAGCTCTCCTCCAGAGAACCCCAGCAGACCTGCTTCCACCACTGCAGCAAGCTAAGCCTAGGACAGAATATCATGAAACTGATGTCGAATGAGGCAGGAGTGGTGCAGGTTGCTCCAGAGCCTTTAGCTCCCTGTTCTCCTGGACTGCTGTTGCAGGGACCCCAGCTAGAGCCTGGCTCTGGCGTCCTGCGCTGTCAGAAAGTTGCTGATGATCCCAGACACCACCTCGGGCTCGTTCAGGTGTACAAAATGGCTCCCCGGTACCTCTACTAGCTGGATGTGCTGGAAAAAAGAGGACATGCATAAGAGGTAGCCTGGGAAAGCATTCCCTCAGGCAAAGCTATGCTTATTGTGTGGCACTCCCTGGCGCATGAAGCCAGAGGAGACAATACAAAGATGGGCTCTCAAAGAAGGTCTGGGCTTTATGTTGTCCTATTTAGCTGCAGAAGCACCAGGCACACACAAACCCATCACATAAAATGAGATTCAAGTCCAGCGGAGTGAGGGAGGCAGAACAGGGATGAGGGATCGGAGAAAAGGTGGGCCCAGAGAGTAGTGCTGAGTGGGACTTTGGCAGCAGGGGTAAAGCTGGCTTTCTCCTCCCTGCATGAGAGCTGGGCTGCTTAGGACAAATTCCCTAGTTGGGGGGGGGGGGGGGGGGGCCACCAGGGTGAGCTGCTTTTAGCAGCTGCTCCCAGTGTCCCATGGAGTGCAGATGCAAGAATGGAGTTTGCTCTCACCTCTTTCAGCACAGACTCAAATGCCTCCCGTAGGCGTTTCACAAAGAGATTTCTGCTGTCTAGCTTGTGCGGAATCAGGAGTCCATCTTGTGCTCTGAAAAATCAAGGCATGAGGCTCAGCACAGCACACGATGTGCCTGTCTTTGCTGGTGTCCTGGCTAGAAGCAGTGTTTCCAAGAGAGAGTGGGACACTAGACTTAACTCCATTCTTCCAGACTCATGAAGCTGTAAACAAGGGCTAGGCTGGGGCTGCTTTTAAACACCTGGGTTACAGGTTCATACATGGCAGTCAAAGGTGCAAGACAGCTCAGCTAAGCAGCTATTAGCTAATCAGACTATCTTTTTAAAATCCTGGGTATCTGCCTAGTAGTATCAGAGAGGAGACTGGTTAAATATTAGCCCCCCCACCCCCAACCCAGGCTGCTCCTTAACTTGTCAGAGCACATTGCTCTCTGCCTCTACTCTGTCTTCTGCTCCTGACCTTTTTCCTTCTAGTCAGCTTCTACATTTCACCCCTGTCTCTTCCCCACGCTGCCACTTTAAACATGAATCCCAAGTTGTGCCCTGTGTGGAAGGGAAGGAGGTACCAGAGCAGTTGTGTTGGATAACCCAGCATTAGACCTCCTGCAGAGTTAAGATCATGACATCACCTACTGTGCTACATGTGATGAAATGAGGTGAAGTCCCAGGCTCAAAGGGACATACTCTGGATGGTCTAGAGGACCTGTCCTCATGGTGCTGTTGCTTCTCTCCGTTCTGGACACGCAGAACAATCCTTAAGTACACAGGAGAAGCCTCCTGTGAGTTAAGTGGATTAGAGAAGCCAAAACTGCACCTCATTTCTCAACTTCCAGCATGTCTTCTCATTTCCCCTGCAGTCTCCAACAGGGCCACGTGGGCTAAAGGAAACAGAGCCCTGCACATCCTGCCCTCCAAGCAGGAGGGGAAAACACACAGGAGGATGGAGACAGATAGCTACTCACACACATAGCAGGCTGCTGTCTAAGTCACTGGCCCCCTGCCCCCGCAGCTCCTCCCTGCCCAGGGCGCTGAAGGAGAGCGCTTGCACGAGCTGGCTCAGGACGGGGGCTCCGGACTCAGCAGGAGGAGGTGGAGGCGGTGATCATTTTACCCATTTGTGCAGGCAAAGGGGTTTCAAAGCCCGGGGCAGCGGGCCGGCTGGCTTGCCGCAACTACGGGAAGGGAGGCCACGAGGAAAGTAGGTACGAGCAGAGCTGCAAAGGGCCATGCGTTTGTCAGGCTCTTCCTTTGCTGTCGGCCCAAGAGGCCCAGCCGGGGGGCGCGGCGCCGGCCCGCGAGGAGGCCGTGGTGGCTCAGCTGTGCCTGCTCCTGGAGCCTGCCCAGCCCCGCGCGGTCGGGGAAACGCTGCTCCGGGCGGAGGCGATGCCATCACGCCAACCTGGCCCAGGAGCCGGGTGGCTGCTGCAGAGGAGGGGGTGGCGGAGGACTCCCTGCTAACCCTCGTCCCCTCCACCCAGGGGGACAGCCATGGCGGGCTTTGCTTGTGCCACACTCACACGATGATGAGAACGCGGTCCTGGATCTTCTGTAGGAGCTCCACACACTGCTCCACCGTGAGGGACTCTCGGCTCTGCTGCAGGTGCAAAAGCAGGGAGAACAGCAAAGGTCAGGGAAATCGACTGGGGCAGAGGGGCATCCCTGACCCCTACCATGTTGGCGGCTCTGAGGGCAGAAGGGGCTGATGCCCCAAGGCTGCTGTGCTGGGACAGGACGGGCCACTCGAGTGGCTGGGGCTGCAACAGCTCCTTCTCTCCAGCTGCATTTCAGTGCTGCCAACGCTGCCTGCTGGGCTGCAGCCCAAATGGGAATAACCTCACAGCGGAGAAAGCCTTTAAAAATCTTGTTGCTAATAAAGAGACAAGTACAATGGTCTGGCTTTCGTGTTCTGGCAGTAGCACAGGTAGAGGAGGCCCCACTTGTTGAAAAGTGGCACAAAATTATCAAATTATCAACCATGAGGACTTTGCTCTGTTTCCCCCCCCCCCTTCTTACAGGGGTGATCTGTTTGAGAAGCTGACCTGGAGCCTCCATCCATCTGCTGCTTGGAGAGTTATAACAGCAGGAAAACGTGGCCAGGAGGCCCTGGCACAGAGGAACTGCTAAAAAGTTCAGTAATATTTTCCAGTGACTCTGTAAGCTGAGTCAGTTAATGATCAAGTGCTCTTTCAACAGCAACATTTAAAAGATGTGTGGGAATTAGGAAAGCAGTAAGTAAAAGGTTGGGTGGAGGCAGGGCCTGAGCTCAGTGAGTGGGCCTCAACTTTCTCCGTTTTCTGCAAGCTCAGGGCTCAGAGGCAGCAGGGGGCAAGTCAGAACAGTAACACTCACCGTACGGACTCTCATGTCTCTGTTATACACCAGCCCTGGAATGAAACAAGAGAAGGCTTTCATGTCTCATAGGAGCAGGAGCTCCTCTGCCTCTCCTCACCTGTGGGGTCAGCCCAAAACTTTCTTAGACAAGAGGGAGGGGATGAATTCAGGTTTCTCCTTTTTTGGTTTCTTTTCTTTAGCCATTCTAGGACTCGAGCACCAACACCAGTTGCTGGGACTGGGGAGCTCTGCCTCCAGATGTAATTGCTCCCATCCAGGCTGTACAAACTCACAGCCAGGGCACCCTGTACCCTTTGAAAAACAACGGCTGTTGGCACTGCTCCCTTCCTGCACCTAGCCTTGGGCCACCACTGTGATTAGCCCAGTCTCCAAGCAGCACAGGCCCCTTACCAGCGGGCGTCACAGTCGCTCCTCGCTGCAGTAGGATTGCCCCACCCTCTGCTGTCAGATGTCTATTTGCTTCTAAGAGCCTGGGGGAGACATGGCAAAGAAGTTGTGTTGCTGGAAACGGGAGGAAGCGAAGCAAAAGCGGCATGACAAGATGACGTTGAGCTCACAGGCTGCTTCAGAAAACAGTAGGAAGCCGGCAAGGGAAGCAAAAGGTCTTGCTTGGGTTCCAGGGGAGGGCTGGAAGTGGGCAGTACAGGGACACAGAATTTCCCCTTCTGGTTCACGCAGCCATAACTCTGTCCAAGGTGAGGGCAGGCAGCGAATGAAGAGGACAGATGGGGACCCACCTCTGCAATGCTGCTTCAGGGCTATGCGCTTTGGGAGGTTGCTGCTTCGCCTCTAGGCTCAGTAATCTGTCAATCACCATCCGCTTTGATTTCAGCCACTCCTCGGTTTCCTGAAACAAAGAGATGCAGGACACAGGAGTGACCCCTCATTTCTAGGTCATTTTACCCCTTATCGGGGTAGAAGAGGGTAGTTCCCCCTCCAGCGTCTCTCAGATGCAAAGGAACAGCCATATGAACAGGCAAGGCAGGAGCAGAAAACTAAACATTGCTGATATAGGAAGTTATCAACCTTATCCTTGCAGTCTTTTCCCACCCCCTCCTACCTCACTTTTGATTTGAGGACAACTGTTCAAAACAACAAGGGAAGTTTGGCATCTTTGGTGTCTCTGACCCTAGGCATCTGTCCCGCTCCTGCCAACCAGTGTCTCAGCATCTGGTAGTGACAATGGCAGTTTGGGAATGTAACTTTATGTCCTGCCAGGAACAAAAAGAGGAATCTACCAGTCTCATATCCAGGTCACCTAACAAGCTGTTGGCGAAAAGACAACCTTGGCAGGGGGTTGCTCTGACAGAGGTTCCAGTTCCCTTTGTATAAGGGTCTGGCATAGATGTGCAAATTTTGGTGCTACGTGACTGAAGGATGCTGAGGACTACTAAGTGTCCGCCAAGGGCCGCTCCTTAAGCAGGGACCTACAAAGCAGCAGATCTGTGCCTGCCAAAAAGGAAGAGTGCTGAGAATTGTGCACTGTGCCAGGGACTGGTCACATCCATTTTTTCTTTTTTGAACAAATTGGAGGGAAAAGCCCATCCTATCTCTTTTTTCTTTATTTAAAAAAAAGGGAGAGGAGGAAGCATGAAATCTAACCTCTGGAGCTAGCAGAAAGCCAAGATTTTCCAGTAGGATCAGCTTGTCCACCATCTCAGGATAAAGGACGCAAAACTGAGGAGAGAAGAAACACTATGAATGGAAGAGAAAAGCTGAGTACTGAGCGCTGTCTTCACCCTGCTGCACTGGAGAGTGAGTATATGAAGGGCCTCCTCTTCCCTGAGATCCAAGTCCCACACAGTCTGTCCCTTTATTCCTCTCGCTTTTGTTGTTTCGGCTGCAGAAATCACAAATTCCATGAAGAGAGGATGCTTTACTCACCATTCCTGCCACAGATCCACCTGCAAAGGAAAGAAGGGTGCTCAGTTATGCACAGTGGTGGTAGCAGCTCCCCTTCCCCACAGCCGGAGCTGCCTTAGAAGCACGAATGCGTCTTGTACCAAGGGACAAAGCCCCAGCTACAGAACAGAGCTCTCCCAGTAGGAAGGACGGAGGGCTATCGGCCAGCCAGACTCCCTGGGCTGCCCCAGCCCCATCTCCCTCACAGACAGCACAGGCCAGGGAGGAGTTATTAGTTAAAACACTATGATGTGCAGGTACTGCAAGCTGTGAACCGAGCAGCCCTGGGGAGCAAAACCCAAATCATGACAAAACCCAATCACGTCCCAAGGATGAAAGGACAGAGCCTGGAGTCCCGGCTCCCCTCAGCAAGCTCTGTGCCCCCACCAAGAAGGGCCCAACCTGTCCCCCACATGGCAGCTAAGCCTGGGGCAGCACAAAGGCCTGTTGCAAATACTCCTGCCTTAGACCATCCCTCTTCGCCCAGCACTGTTTCCTCCTGGGGGTAGAGGCACACAGGGACAGTTCCCGCTACTGGTACTACAGGGCCTTGACAGGCACTTTAAACAAGGGTGCAGATTTTTGAACGTCTCAGTCAGGAGCCCGGTACTTTACATGATATAATAAATATTCCAACCCAGTTCCTAGAAGCATGTCTTGTAAGTTGGTAACTAACTCGTGTTTCCATGAATCTCACAGCTTACAAGGACAAGAGCTACTTACCCATACTGTGACCCATCAGGGTGAACCGTCTCCACTGCAAAGCTAAGTGGCAACAGACAAAAACAGACAGCACTGCATTAGAAACCAGAGCAGCGGCATCACGCTGCTTCTCCACCAGCAGAGGCCCCTTCCCCCACAAGGGCTTCTTTGCTGCTGCTTCATTTGATTCCTAATCCAGAAATGAGGTGGCTAAGTGGGCCAGCTTTAAAGAAAAAGAACATCCACCTCATTTTCTTGGAAGTGAAGTCACGCAGCTCTCAAGCTCTCTCCTTATGGCAAATGTACTACAGCCAGTTCCCCCTCATTGCCAGACACAAGACAAGAAGCAGAGGAGCCTGACCGGGCAGCGTGTGCTGGGAGACAGACACCTTGATAAAGCATCCTGCTGCAAGATGTTCAGCGAGAGCCATACGGACGAAGATCAAGGTCCGCTGCCTTGGGGAAAGTGTGATTATTCCAAGTGAAAGGTCTTTGCACCGTTCAGCACACGAGGCTCTTCAGTCCATTTTTAGGGCAACCTCAGAGGCTTATTGGGAAAATAGTGCTAAATCAATGTTGCTACGTGAAATATGCCTCATTGAAAGAGGTGTTTTACCTGCTGGCACGTCAATAAGAAGTTGTAGGGGCTCTTCAGGCTCATTCAGGTCTACTGAATGAGGGATACAAAACTGCTTATGCTGTAGCCTCCCCCAAGATCAGCACGCAGATAGGCAGTCAGACCAGGAGTTATTAGGAGACCAAGATATCTTGGTTTCCAGATGTCTTTGTATCATACTAAAGCAAGTGCCAAGCTGCTGTCCATGGAAAACCAGGCACTAGAAGAGTTTCCAACTTGTACCTAACACTGGTCAGAAGTTTCTGGCTGCTTACAAAACGTCAGTCTGGCAGAGCTCTTTAGTTGCATCCACCGCTCAACCACCACTGTTTTTTGGGACAGAAACTTTTCCTTCCCTGGGTTTACTGTTTCTTCCTCTCACAAAATAGTGAGAAAGAGGGATGTTTATTCAGCCCGCGGTCGTAACACACAGGCTGGGGGGGAAGCAGAGGGGAACTGAGCCCTCTCCCAGCAGCGATTGCCACCTGCCATTCCAAGGAGCAGAAGTGACGTGGCAGCCCCTTGTGCAAACATCCCCTTGGCGGCCCTTTCAACGGCTCACCTGCCGCCACCCGGCGCACCTCGCTCACGTAATCCAGGAAGTGGTAGAACGAGCCCGCAGGTCGGTGGGACGACAGGCCGTGGCCCGAAAAATCCATCGCCACGTAACGGCAATCTGCAAGGCAGAGGCCATCAGGCAGGCGGCCCTGCGGCACAGCGCCCGGCGCCCCCCCCGACCCGAGCCAGACCCACCGGCGGGCAGCAGCGGGATGAGCCTGTCGAAGGTGTTGGCGTTGTCGAGCCAGCCGTGCAAGCACAGCACGGGGCGCCCCTGCGGGGGACCCCAGGCCTTGGCTGCCAGGTGGCCCCAGGGCACGGGGAACGTCACCTCCGAGGACATGCCTGGAAGCAGGGCGCCAGCAGAGAAGCCGCGCGCTCCGAGCGGGTCCCAGGGAAGCCCGCGAACGGCCCAGACCTCTGGAAAGAGTAATACAGCCTCTTTAAGTCACTCGCCAGCCTCCCGTGGCTTCGGCTAGCAGCTTGCCGATTTGTATTTCCCAGCTCGACACCCCACGCTCGCAGCCCCCCCGAAGGGGCCGCCAACC